TAACCGTTAACTCTAACAATATAAAACAATTCTGTTGTCATTTATGTAATTTACGGCTAGCTGTGCATAAAATGATTTTACTGCACGATGTGGAGGCAAAGGTCCACCCGATGTGCAGCTGAGATCTAGCATTCTGCCCGCTTTAAATCAGACATGGAGATTGTTAATATTTCTTGGGTTTCACTTATAACTGCACTTGCCCCCGCACGAAAACGGTGGCTAAGAACACACACATATACATGTTCACATATTAACACACATCTTGAGTACTTTGATTGGATGTCCAGGACTTTGTTTATGTTGTTGTATGTATCTGTGGTATAAATAGGACCCATCTTCCTTAATAAACTTGAGAATGCTATGGTAGTACACTGGCTCTCTGTGTCTGGTTGATCATTCTCCCGGGATCCCACACCGCGGCTGCTATAGCATCAAATCTACAAACAGTCTAATTAAAATTTTATCTAACAGAGATGAAGTAGTACGGTAAGATCACATTTATATGAATGTATGAATTATAGTACTTGATTTGACTGAATTATCGATTAATAAGTCAGTTTAATCACGGTTCTATATTAATGCATTGTTTTAATTGACACACGCACAGAGAAACTTCTTGTCAACGCTGCAACTTTTAATAAAATAGCTTCGATACTGAATTGCTACATACATTTAATATAATACATATATTTCTAACTAACAGCTTCACTGTTTGCAGAGTGAGACGCATAGATGCAATTCACACACCCAGCTTTCTTTTCCTCCACATCATGCATTAAAATCATTTAATGCACAGCTAGCCGTAGGGCTGGGCGTTTTTCCCGATTTTATTGATTAATTCGAATTGAAAGTTTTGCCACGATTTTATTTTTTTAGAAATCGAGGAATCGCGATTTTGAATAGAAATATTACGAAATGTTAGAATTAAGACGCTTTGACAATATGCCGGTGATAACAGTAAAGAGAAAAGAACGATCCAACCGCATGTCGGCGCACGTTTTTAACCGCTTACATGTGACGCTCTCTGTGAAGGACCATAAATATAGCGCCAAGCGCCATTCACATAGCCCTTTTGCCCTTTTGTGTTGACAAAGATGCGATGCGGGCAGTGGAATAGGGGTGGGTGATATGAGCTAAAATTCATATCACGATATTTTATTCTGTCCAGGCGATATCGATATTATATTGCGATATGAGAAAAAAAAATTACAGGCATAATATTTTAACCTTATATAACTAGAAAAAGTGAGGGATTGGACATAGAACTGAAAAGTCTTTTTTTTATTGTGCCATTGTTTTTCTCAAAAAGTGCAAACGTGCAACATGAGGTAGGCCTGTATGAATTAAATTAAATTAAATATTGTGTGTTTGAGTTGGCCAGTGGTTCCCAAACTTTTTCTGCAGGGCCCACCTTTTGTAGATAAAAATATTTTCAAGGCCCCCCATCTTTTTTTTTTGGAAAGTCTCTTATGCTCACCAAGGCTACATTTATTTATAAAAAATACAGTAAACACTGTAATATTGTGAAATATTGTCAATTTAAATGATCTATTTGAATGTTTTAACATATAGGCTACTGTATTCCTGTGATCAAAGCTGAATTTTCAGCATCATTACTCCAGTCTTCAGTGTCACATGAGGGTACCGCGAGTCATGTTGAGGTAATTAAAATACCTCAAATGAATATTTTGCGCTCAATTATTTACTTATCAGGCAAGTGGCCGCATTCATTTGTGTTAAAATTTGCAAAGCGTACCAAATTGAACAACTATATAAATGCAAAACTTGAATTCATGAATATATAACGGTATCAACGGTATAGCAAAATCCATATCATGGAACAACATAATACCGGTAATCACTTTCATACCGGTATAGCGCCCACCCCTACAGTGGAATAGGGAAAAATACAAGAAGATTGGAGTGAACTTCTTTTAACTTGAGCGCTGCGTTTTTAGAATGTCGTTTCATGCATGAGACGCTGCAAGAGACACGAGCGCAACAGTCAAACACATCCATGTTTACACAGAAAAAACAATGGAAAAGCAGCGCAGTCGAATAAAAAAACCTGTAACTACTACTGTATGTCTGATATTTCATGTTTGCATCATGGTGACAGGCTGAAAGCTGCTGTTGTTTTTACAGAACATTTATAGTTAATAATAGTCTACTTGTGTTATATACCTTACGTAATTTTGAATTTGACTTGAGATTTTTTTTTAAAGCATTTTCCCCATTTTTATTATTTCTGAACACATATGTATAAGACAAGTTTGTACAATAGCCTATGTAGTTGTAGTTCATGCATCTTTTCTGCAAATATATTTAACAAGTGATTTGTTTAACATTTACATTATTTACATTTACATTAATTTTCTTTAACTAGATGGTTAATAAAGAAAAAGTTACTTGAATCTCACTGTAGTTACATTTTCATGTTGGCTAGTTAAAAATCGTAAAAATCGAGAATTGGTCAAAATTCGGAAAAAAATAAATTAAAAAAAAAAAAATCGAAATTTAATTTTTTTGCCAAATTGCCCTGCCCTAGCTATCCATTGATTATATAAATAACAACATAATTGTTTTGTATTGTTAGAGTAGAGTTAACAGTTGGTTTATTTATTTATTTTTGAAAATTGTAAGACTGAAATGTCTGAAATTACTTCAATAAATAATAAAATAAACTATACACATACATAAAAATTCATATACAAATGATAAACTGCTTAGTTCAACCTCAAGCATTACGGTCTATACAAAGCATACTGGGACATTATTGCTTTCACAAATCACGAGGAAATCGAACCTCAAACGGACCCACAAATGAACTGTACAGTTAGCTTTTGGGTCCTTTCAGGTCTGAGATGGTTGTTCACGCTGTTCGTTTACATACATGAGCTGAACCACTCCAAGAACTTTTAGAGAGCTCAAACTAACAAGGTGTGAAAACACCCTAATATGCTGCGTAAGCTACACAGAAATAAGTTAGCATTAGCAAAGTTTTGACCATTGCAGCAGTTATTTTACATAATTTAATGATAAAAACACTAGTCATCATGCTATTAATTACTAGGCATTTCCAGATATCAAATAGTTAATGTTAGTAATTGTTTTCTAAAGAAACCAGCTCAAATGATCGCATTTACATTAATTTAGATTAGAATGTTTATAATCAAAACACTTCAAGCATGCGCAGATTTTCGCAGGTACTGCACAATTCCAAATCAATCAATCTGGCAAGATAAAATTGAACTTTGTGTTATTTATAGGATGTTTTCTAAAGTGCCATGGACAGCAAAGAAAAGGTTTATTATCTCAAAAATGTCAATTTTTCCTGAATTAAAAAAAAAAAAAATCTCTCATTATGTATG